TGGTACCAGAGTTGTATGGAGGAGGAAAAACACCGACTCCTTCATCGGCTGATCCGCAAGTCATTGTGAATGCCAAACCGCATTCAAATTGCTTATGATTTGGAATGGAAATAGAACACGTGGCGCATCTAAGAACGGGATTGGATCAACGCCACATGCTTTATGCACTTTTGTCACCGCTTCTTTTCTGAACGGCTCAAACTTCTTACACGGGTAAAGAGAAAAGACCCACCAGACGTATACCCTTGACCTGGAAAGTTGGGCATCACCATGCGAACACCGTTTTTCCTAAGTTCTGGTGCGAGATATTTGAAGTCAGCATGAGACCCAGGCGAGCCATGTATAGCGAAAAGAATCGCTTTCTCTCCGCCTTCTGGCATCGTGTCCTGAAATGTGCGTTTCATGGGAGAAAATGACGAGTTGATAAAAGAATTTCTGGGAGATGAAGTTTCATCTAGTACCTGATACACTGCATCCAGCTCGACGACATCACCTCGACTATTCTTGAAGCGAACTGGTACTGAGTATAGACCGTTTTCCGAATCAAAAATAGATCTTCCTGATGCATAACGTTGATGCACAATCTGCAACACAAAGAAAAACATAGCGACATCTAAAAATTGGTTCGATATACAGAAATGAAGGGAAAACGTGAGAGATCCAGGATCGGCAGTCAGTTTATTTGAAGTAAAGCGACGCGATGCGAAGACATTGCTCTCATTTTTCAATACAAATTCTGCTACAAGAGAAATGTTGTTGGATATTTTGACGGTAAACAGCTAAGGAATACTGTAGAGGGGCTGTGATATAGCTAAGGGTTACTGTAGAGTGGCTGTGATATTGAATGATACGATAATCACCCTAGACTATTCATAATATCTCTTTGCATATCAATTGTGCATATCTACAGGATGTCCCTTAAATATTGGAATACTTTTCTTAACTTGTAACTTCTTTCAAAATGGATGTATCTTCAAGAGATTTGAACAATTTTAGCAATACATTTACATATTGAAGGAATGACATTCATTGGATATGCCCCTGTTGTTGTGAGTATGGCTCCCATTGCTTCGAACGCAACTCTACTGTGGCCCGCATGGCATCCTGGGGTGTTCTCTTCGAAACTTTGCAGAGAAAAGGCTCCGGCTCATCCATGTGGATGCATGTTTAGTGCAGGCTCTGTCCCCTAACACAGCCCACATAGGATGGTCCAGCACGCTGGAATCAAGGGATAGGAGAGCCATTCTTTGAGGATGTGAAATTGGAAAGAGTAAGCCTAACAGTAAGCTCATTTATTCCTGGCTCAAAAACAAATTGGGTAATAGCATAGTAACAGATAGTAGACCGGAATGCCCCTTAGCTATGTAGGTGCAATACCGAGTTGAACTCCTTCTTAAACAGGCTGTTGTGGTGAGCAAGCGGAAATCAAGACCCCTCCTTCACCATGATAAGGTTAGGCTGCTTTTGAAACGAATCTTCCTTCCTTTTCCACTGGCTTCTTCAGGACCTCATGGGACCATCCTCGAAATTTGGAGATTGTGACTTCGCTACACAGTGAGAATTTTGCTGGCGAAAAAATGATGTCCACATAATAGCCTTTTTCGGCCTTTGGCATCAGCTCTTCACAGTTCTTGTCTCTGCTGCGCTTCCACTCTCCATATGATTGTGTTTGAAAGCTTCAGCGTTCTGGTCACATTTCTCAAGCAAATTAGTAATTGATATTTCGGTCGTTATCGTTCAATGCGTTTCCTGAAGAACGCAAGAGATGGCAAACTATGCGGGTGGCTGCAACGGAGTCTTCATTCATGGTTCTTCTCTACAGTGGTAGGCCGCGCAACGGTTAAGATTCCAAAAAATCTTTGTCATGACTGTTAAGCGTTCGAGATGCACCAAATGTCTCTTTTTCTCTTCCTATTTACATAGGCTACACAATTTCAACCGACAAAGCAGAGAGAGGCGCCACTAGAAACTTCTAAATAAGATCTTATCAAGAAATTAGGAACACTAGTACCGCTAATTTGGTACCCTAGCCAGGCTTACCATATTGTCCAACCGCCCGTGGTCAGCTGAGAGAGAAAAAATTGTTAACAGGGCCTTCACTCTTATATGAGCACTCTGCGTATGATACTATCAGAGAAAACTACTTATCAGAACTGTTTTCCATGGGTCTACGAGAGTTGTCGAAATGGACACAAAGAGAGTTAATAGAAGAGTAATAATTGCAGCTTCTAGGGAGCAGGAAAAGTCACCCAGCAGAGAGTATGTGTCGGAAGCTTTTCGTCAGCATGTACTTCATGATTCGCTGATCAATTCCAAATTTCGGGGTTGCTTAGCAAATTTTGACGTGAAAAATCTTGTAAAGGGCTAATTTTAAGTCGCTGACTAATCATTTGGGGCCATTGGTGTGGAGTTTTTCTTCCCGCACGACTGGGCTTTCGGACAGGCGCCCCCGTCCAAAGAACTGTCGAATTGTTTGCTGTCAATTGAAGAACCGTTTTAAAACTAGTGCGAAATCCCCTTTACATTCCACCATTTCTTAAAGTACTGCGAACCGCTTGGCTTGCAAGCTCATACGTCTCTTCTTGTAGATCGCAGATAGGCTAGTGAACTCAACCTCAGGTCGCTGGTTTATCACTGGTTTTGTTACTGATATTTTTGACAGTTTGTTGGAAATTTTTAACTTCATGCTATTTTAATTTTATGGCGTGTTCAAGCACAAATAAATAAATAAATTGTGATGGTGTATGACGTCATGTGCATGGCCCATCCTAAGATTATTGATTGTAACCCGGCGGTCTTGCCCTTTATTGACTTGTCGTCCAAATAATAAAGGGTGAAAAAATCGGAGGCTTCTTCTGATGCCCCATCATCGAAGGAAATAATAAGCGAACTTGCTATGAAGGAAAAACGGACCCACTTGTCGAAGAGACACAGCAACCACATGAAATAAACGGCTTTTGGAAGAAGAACACATTCTCTGGACGGTTTTTCGCCAAAATCTCTAAAATAAAAAGTAAGAGAAATTCAGCTGTTGAGAAGAAGTCGTATTCGCGCGCTGAGTGAAAAATTTTGAAATCTTCGGATGAATTAAGGACTTGAAATAAGTGCTTGAACATTAATCACAAGCAGCGGAATGTGCTTTATACTGCTCTAACTGTGGAGTTTCATCGTTCGAAGTGAAGTAAAAAAGGAGAAATGATCAACTCCAACTCATTGAGAGGTTATTAGAAGTTTACAAAAATTTCACAGTAAAAAAACTTCTTCAGAAAAAA